TTATAAATATCAACTTGACTCCTGCACTTTAGATGCAGGCTCTGCGATGTGCAGCAATGAGGCAGAAACTGAAACACAGGCAGCTCACAGCACAGTAACAAGAGGAAGTACTTCTTTACTGTGAGTGTGGTTCAGCACAGGAACGGGGCGCCCAGAGAGGTTGTGGAGTGAACAGACTATCTCTGGGGCAAAAATTTCAAATGAGCGGTGCAGAAAAGCTTCAGCATGCTGCATCACTGCGCCTCCAGGAGGCTGCTTCATTTTGGTCTTTCAAACTCTACTAGGCGTGCTTCCACAGAGCCACACCGTGCGGCTCTGTAATACGCACGTACCACAGAATCACAGAATCACAGAATCACAGAATCACTTGGGTTGGAAGGGACCTCAAGGATCATGTAGTTCCAACCCCCCTGCCTAGCAGGGCCACCAAACATCCACATTCAGATCAGGTTGCCCAGGACCCCGTCCAACCTGGCCTTGAACACGTCCAAGGACGGGGCATCCACAACCTCCCTGGGCAGCCCGTTCCAGGGCCTAACTACTCTCCTTGTGAAGAACTTCCCCCTAACATCCAACCTAAGTCTTTCCTCCTTCAACTTTGATCCATTTCCCCTAGTCCTGCTGTTGTCAGCCCTTTTGAAGAGTTTACTCCCCTCCTGGGTGTAGGTTCCCTTCAGGTATTGATAGGCTGCAATGAGGTCGCCCCGCAGCCTTCTCTTCTCCAGGCTGAACAAGCCCAACTCCCTCAGCCTGTCCTCATAGGGGAGGTGCTCCAGCCCCCTGATCATCTTAGTTGCCCTCCTCTGGACCCTTTCCAAGATCTCTATGTCTTTCTTGTACTGAGGGCTCCACACCTGGACACAGTACTCCAGGTGGGGCCTCACAAGAGCCGAGTAGAGAGGGACGATCACCTCCCTGTCCCTGCTGGCCACCAGTCAGTAAGGCCAGCGTGGCTCAGCAGAAAGGTGCAGAACCAGCAAGGAAATAATGCTCCTGCAAATGACGTACTGCTTAGTTACTTCTGGACTGGAAGCTATTGTAAGCTGCTATACATACTACACAGAAGAGCTTGGTGTTGTACTTTTAGTAGTAATTATTTGAATGAATACAACGCTATTGAGGTTTCCAAGGGGGTTAATGGTAAAGAGGCTGTTCAGCTGAATAGCCTATGGATCACCTCAGTACCTTCAGTCATTTTTCTCAGCTATGCTGCTGCCTCTGGTGCAAACCTTATTTTTCTTCTAGCTGGAAAGAATACTCCCATATATGTATGTTGTTAAAGAGAAAGCCAATGCTTTTATTACTACAGTAAAAATAAACTTCACTAGGTATTCCTATGACATTCTTGCCTAAAAGCTTGTTTTCTCTAGTCTGAATTCAGAACTGAGTGCATCTACCTTTTTTTCTTTTTCATTTTAGATTGGAAGAGCAAGTACAGCAGCTTTCAAAATGCGCTTTATTTAGAAAATAGAGTAAAAACTGGGGAAACCACAAGCAGGATTCAGTGGGTATTTCTGTACATGAACACTATCTGTCTTCTCCAATCAAAACAACAGAGGTGCAGGGTAGCACTGAATCTCAAACACACTGGCCTGCATGGTTGCAATGTTATGGTCGGTCTCTCGTAAGCTTTCATACGTGCATTCTCTTTTTTCTCTTGCTCTTACATACTGTGAACTTGGACTGCTATTTTCCCCTCATGTGGATAGACTACTCACTTCACTTACAAACCACTTGTTAATGTAGACCGTTGACTGGCTTGCACTGGAATAACTGCTACCAATACCGTACAGCATTAGCATTTAAAAATGTTCACTATATGCAATTCTTGCAGTATTTGCTTTGTTGTGTTATTTTTATACCAGTTGCCAGTTCATGCCTTCCAGTTTTTGTCAAAACAGCTCTTTACACTTCCCTTACACTTCAAGAAATGTGGAGAAAATAGTATTAGTCAGAATTAGGATTGTATCTTATATGCTTTATGAAATGCTATTATCGTGCAGTAGGAATAAAAGGTAGAGGTTCCTTAGAAAGCACCTTACAGAAAAGTAGAGAGGTATTACAAAGTTCTGGGTACCGGACTGCATGCAGTGAGCAACGTTTCTTTTTTAATTTTTTCTTGAGGTTGATACTACTTGCCTCATATATTTACTTCCAAACTTCTTGTGGTCACCCACATGCTTCTTAAGTATAGAATCAAGTGTTCAGCTGGACTAGATAACCACTGTCACGCTGCCTATAGGTGCAGGAACAGGTCTTTGCTCAGAGCAGTTCTAAGTTCCATGGCGTACCCCAAATACCGTATTTGCAGAGCTGAAGATCTAACTTCCTTAGCAGCAAAATAATAAGAACCATGTCTTTAACCTACTCTCTTGTAGTACAATGATGTTTCTTGTCTGCAAAGCATGCAGCACACTGTTCAAGTAGAAGGGGGCAGAAGACAGAGAGAGAGAAGGAAGAAGGCTGAAGTATCAGAGCTTCCCCAAAGCTCCAGCAAGTTGGAGGGTTGTAAAGAATTTTGGAAAAGTTGTTGCTTATTCCTAAATGAAGTAAACTGGGTACAATAGACACCTTGAGGACAGCTCAGTGGAAAACTCAAATTGCTGGTTAGTACTATAGCACAAGCCCTAAAAAGGTTAAAGAAGGAAAGACGGGTTTAGACTCAGAATAATTATTTGTTGTTTTGCCTTTGTTGCATGCTTAATTTTAAACAAAAACACATGAACTAAAGGCCAAACTCTAAAAAGGTAGGTGCATTTCTCATTGAAGTCATCAGATCTGAGGGTCAACTATTAAAACTCCATTAAACTAGAAAACAAACAAACAACACACCACACAGATGCTGAAACCAGCTGGGAAAGCAAAGCAATATTTGTCGAGAGTTACATACATAAATAAATCGGAGATTTATGGAAACCAAAATATAGTTAAACTTAAGAAAAAGAAAACTTTGTTAGTTTAAGGCCTTGATAAAGGCCAGCTACTTTTATCCAAATATTTAACATTTATATTTCAAGGGATAGAAACTGAATGCAACTGAAGTCAGCGGAATATGAGATATGATATGCCACCTGTAATTAGGAAGGCTAAGCAAATAATGAAGTATTTAACTGGACACCACCAATACAAAATTAAAGTGCAGTGAGTGTGCTAAATGTTGGCAGAAATGCAGACATTAGGATACTGCATAACTACTAAGGATTTCTTTTCAGTTCACCTCCCCACAAAAGTTAGGACAGTGTCTATGCTTTCAAGTAACTAAGACTAACAAGCTTGCAAACGCGATGTGAGCAACACCCAAGAACTAGAGCAAGTTCTAACGAAAGGCCTTAACTACAGGAAAAGCTATTTCATTAGAATTAGCAATCACCAGCACACTGAAAGAAGGAAAGTATCTTGTACTTAAAAAAAAAAAAAAAAAAAAAAAAAAAAAAAAAAAAAAAAAAAAAAGAGTCATTTATATCAGATAAGTGCATGCAGTACCACATAGAAGCTTAGGAGTTGTTGCTTTTCTTTCTCCCTGCTGCCCTCCTAATGGCAACTCTGGAAAACACTGTGGTTTTCCAGTCCATGTGACCTAGATATATGTAAGAGATTTTCATGAGAAGCAAGTAAAATGCATGATCAGGAACAGCATTAATAACTTGAATGAACATTCTCTTACTGGAGGATTGGCACCTTCCCTGAATGCAGCAAATCTGAAATTTATCTGCAGAGTGCAACAGTGAACAGAACTTGGAAAAACTTAAGTTACTTGAAACAGCCTGGAAACAGTGTATTTTTCTAAGGTCATCCATAGTACAGCAGTTTCAGAAAAAGTGAGTGTTTTGGGACACTCCCTGCAATGGAGTAGGAATGTACACGCTGGCAACTTCCTAACTTTCTGTATAGGACTATATAAAGCAACATCTTCCTGTATCATCCGCTATGTAGAAGTATCTTGATCTTATTTTTAGTCTGGTGCTAGACAGGTGTGGTAATTGCAGTCTACTGTTGTGGTGAAAAGATCATCTGTTAGGGTTGTAGCCAAGCGTTAGTCATATTCTTGTCATTCGCAATCCTTATGGCACGGCCTCAGTAAGAAACACTGCTAAGCGGTGATATCTGCGCTGCCACTATGTTGCTACCTACAGGCACTTGCTAAAGAACATTTGGTTAGTTCTCCTTACACTGGATCTACTTTTAAGAAGTTTCTAGAATGTCTGCAAACAGCAATAGGCTTTCCCTCCTCCATCGCTATCTGAAAGTTTGTCCGACTTTGTACCCAGCAGGGCTGGCAGCAGGCTGGGGCGTGGACTGGAAAAACTCAACTGACACAGGACGGCAAGGCCTGAACGGCTGCTTCTGCATCCCACACCTGAAGGCAGGACGGTCTTCAGAAACACTCAGCACATCACTGCATCTAAGGTACAGTCAATATGCAACTTCTCAGGTTTTTAATTGGAGAATTAACAGGTCTTCACCCTGGATCTTATCTGTGTGGCAGCAGGCTCCTAGTGCAGGCTGTTTAAAACCCGATTAGCTTCTATGAAGCTGCAGCTTTCACGCACTGTAGTTAAAGCACCGCAGAGACTTATTTTTAGCAGTGTTGTTACCGATTTAACGATATTAAAGGACTTCACCTCTTGAGGGAAAAAACAACCTAGTCAGGAGCTGGCCCGCGCGGTCTCAGCTCTTTGAGCTGGCACAGGTGAGGCCTGCGTCACCTCCACGCTCCCCCCCGGGCAGAGCCTTCCCCGTCCCCGGCTCGCGGCCAGGCCGCCCTCCGCCCCGCTCCTCACGGCACGGCCCTGAGGCGGTCCCCGCTCCGGTACCGGGCGGCACCGCGCGGCCCCACCGCCGCCTCCCTGCGCCCGGCACGGGACGGAACAGGTGCTGCTGGCGGCAGGAAGGGCGCTCTGCCGTCCGCGCTAAGGGCGGGGGTCACCCCGCGCCCGCTGCCGCCCGAGGCTCGGGACGCGCTGACGGCACCGCCTCCCGCCCCGCGGCCGCGCGCTCACCAGGTTGAGGGGCCCCTCCATCACTTCCATGGACGGCGGGGGCTGCGGGCACATGGGCGCGGAAGCGGCCTCCTCGCCGCTCCCGGTGCCCCGGCGCGGCCCGGCTGCCGGCGCCGCTCCTCCCCCCGCCCCGCCCCGGTGGCTTGTAAACACGGCGGCGGCTTCCGCCACGGCGCCGCGACGCCTCGCGAGAGACAGAGTCTCGCGAGACGGGGGGGATCCCGCCTCTCCCCGTCGCGCCCGGCGAGAGTGGGGCACGCGCTCGGCTTGCGCGGCTGACTTCCCGCCCGAGGGCGCGCGCGGCGGTATTACTGCTGGGACTCGGCGTGAGGGGAGCTGCGCTGACTCTGTTGCGGGCCGGTGAAAGTGGGGTCCGGCCCGTGCCTTCAACCCTAAATAGGCGGCTAGTACAGCTCGCTGCGTGGCGGGGAGAGGCAACGACGTGTCCCAGTGTCTCATCACTCATTGAGTTGTATCTGTGATTGCAGTACGTGAAAACATGACAGTGACAGGGGTACCAACACTGCCCCGAGAACAGGTATGTGCTGACAGGCTGCTGGCACTCATCATCCAAATAAGATCCCCTGAGAGAAGTGACACGTTGAGCTAAGGACATTGCTGAGCAGCTAGTGAGCTGGACAGCTAATTGCTGGTGATCGTCCTTATCTGTACAGTGTAACGTTTTACAGAGGCTACAGACAAAACTGTTGTGAGGGGATCAAGTGTAACTTCCACAGATGCTGAGGACGGCCTGAGTTTGTAAAGGTGCAGGTGTAATAGACTGAAAGGGTAAAGAGGGGAAAAAAACAGGAAAGAAAAGAGGACAGAAGTTAGGGGGAAAGGTGAGACACCTCAAGAACAAGAAGTAAAAATCTAATTAACATCAAGAAAAAGCCCAGGACTCTATTTGTTCCCTTTATAGATGTGATCCTCGGACATTACAGGCTTCTGTGGTCTCTCTGAGGGAGCCTATGTGCCTGATGTGCTGCAGCTCTCGGCCATGCCTGCGCTGTGGGGACTGGCTCTGCAACGCAGCAATGCTGGGGGAGTTTTCCTTCGCCTCATGTGGTTAGACAGTATTGTCTCTTCAGGCACAGTACTTCTGTAAGGTACTTTACTAGTTCCTGTTCTCATTTGCAGTAATTTATGTATTGCTTGGTTTAATTATGTATTACCTAGTCAGATCCTATGTAGTCCAGAGCGGTTTTAATCTGAAGCCTGCTGATTGAGTACGAGATAGGTGAAGTTGTCCTTTGTCAGCCAGGATGGGGAAGAAAGACCACTTGGTGCTTCACTGAGGGTGCTTGGACATACGAGCTGATACATTTTAATTGGTTTTAAAAGCTTATGGTTTCCTTCTTCCCGTTAGCTCATGTACACATACAGACCTGCACATACATGTACACTCAGAAAGGGATAATGTTTATTTGTCACCTGAAGGAGTGCAAATTCCATGGTGATCATCACATTTCTTCACCATATCTGTTTTTGTAATGACAAGCCCTTCTCTAGCCCTGATACTCCCTTTTCTCCATCTTGCCAGCAGTGCTATAGTAGGAATAACTCTACTAAAAATCTTTTCACCTGCATACAACTTGTTTTTTCAATTGTTAATGAAATTGTACTGAGTTAATGTGTCACAGTTTGCTGACTTTCTGGTCTCTCTGAGATTTTACGCAGAATCACAGAATTGTAGGGGCTGGAAAGGACTTGTGGAGGTAACCTTATCCAAAGCCCTGCTAAAGCAAGTTCCCTACAGTAGGTTACACAGGAAAGCATCCACATGGGTTCTGAATATCTCCGGAGAAGGAAACTCCACAGCCTTTCTGAGCAGACTGTTCTAGCGCTCTGTCACTGTCACAGTAAAGCAGTTCTTCTTCAGAAACTTAGCTGGTTGGTCATCCTTTTCCTTGCTGCATTAATCCAGTGGCAAATTTTGAAGATTACTAAATATTATGTAGGATGAGACTTTAATATACACTAGCAGTTTAGTTGCGTATTGTCAAGCTGTTATTTCTTACCACTCTACAAGCACCTTTTCTCATCTTTGCTGACTAAACTGCAGATATTTTGTTGTTTGCTGTTAAACTCTGTTGCTGATCTGTTTGTGTATATTTTTGAATTTTGCGTAAAAAGTTTGACTCATGACAAGAAGCTACGTGCTTGTTTTTTACCATGCTCATCAGTTCTCCGTAAATCATACCAATTTGCCAAAGTAGATCATTAGGTCAAATGTTTTCTTAGAAATAAAACAACCTAGTTCTGAGAAATGTTTTCCATTACTCCTGCTGGTGGACAGGAAAGACATTTTGATTTCCTGGGTTTAAAAGACAGTCAATGTCCGTTTCAAGGAACATTATCTTCAGTGCAGGAGGGTAATCTACCACTTGTAGAATGGAAGCTAAGGTAGTGGGGGAAATGTTACCAACAGAATAAAAGTTTAGGAGCCATATTGCTGGACTGAACTCAGATGTTACAGTTTGTTTGTGGTTCGGGAGGTAGCCAGCAGCACTGTGCTTCTAGCAAGGCAGGCAGTGACTGTACAGCCCTCAGGAAACCTGGTCAGGCCCAGCTGGGGACTGTTGGCAGAGGCTTAAACCGGGTATTTTCCACAATTTGCGTATCAAATGTTTTGTTTCTCATACATCTAGAGTAGCTTTGGAGACATTAAAAAGCCCAAGGCAAATAAAAAGAACATTGACAAGTTCATTTTTTAAAATCTTGTGATTTAAAAGCTGCTACTAATACTCAGTTTGCTTCAGAGCTATCATGTTGGTGTTTGCAGTGTTAAAGTCAAGGCAATCGGTGTCTAGTGTGATTTGTTGTTTGTTTGTTTCCTGATGAATAGCTTGTGCTTTTTGACTATGGCAACATGAAAATATCTTTGCTCCCTCATCCTTTAAGAAGCATCATGTTGCCAGTTCCTGAAGCTGCTGTGGAAGACAAGTAATGTCTCAACAATTAACTAAAATTAGTAGCAGTGTAAAATAGTTCTCATTTTTACTAATTCAAAATCTAAATTTGTATGGGAGGTCTCCTTTGCTCAAGGGATAATCTTGGGACATTTTATAGAATTTTATCTAAAATCCTGGTGTGCTGGATGCCATATACCCATTTGAAGTTGTCTCTGTCCTGGGCTGAAAATGGCTTCCAGTTTTTAACAATATCTGCAGAGTTGCCCTAAAAGATACAAAGTTGTCCTTCAGAGAAAACAGAACCACAGTAAATAGCCGACTCCATGATCTGTAAACTCTTCAGTGAAAACAAGGTAATTATTTCTTTTCATTACCATCTTTTCAGTGTTTTGCATGTTTTGCTCCTCCCTAGGGACTGCATGGGAATATCATGCTGACTGTATAAGTGTAAATTAAATGTTTGTCTAAAAGAAGAACTATTAAAATGTAATTCTGGCAGGATGTGCCTGTCAGCAGGAAGCTTCCTAAAATACCCTGTGTTTTAAGGGTGGAATTTTAGAGTAGGAGGGAAGTGTAGAATTGCTATTTACCTGTCTGATGCTGCTTTTGACACACATGATGAGCCAGCTTCATTTGACTGTCACCTCCTTAGGAGGCAGAATTCCTCAGCCCACACTTCTCTTAGCATTGACTACTTCTTTATTTACTCTTTGTGCCTTTGCATTTTATCTGGACTGTGCACTTTCAGTTAAGCTCCAGTTAAAGACAGGCTTCTCAGTCACGGCATTGTAGGAGGGCCTGCAGAGCCTCCCACACAGTGCCTTCCTCAAAGAGAGCTGGGGAAGTCTGTTCCTTTGAAGAAGCACTTCTGAAACAAAAGGGATTCCCCCGTATCTCTGGCAATTTATTTCCCACCACACATGTACAGAGCCGTTGGACTGATGGACCTGCTTCCATCTGTCAGATTGTTCAGAATAACCAGATTCAGGATCTCCTTAGGTGTGCTCTGTCCCTTCAGGTCACCTCTGGGGAATGCCTCAGAGGGGTGGTGCATGAAGGAGGGCTTTGACAACTGGGGCTGAAGGAACCTCTTCCAGAGAGCTGGGAGATCTCTCAGGGAATGAAATTTTGGAGAAGGCGTAAACTAAATGAAATCCCTTTCCTGTCACCTTTCTTCCTCCTTTTCTGTCTATTCAGATTTTGACTTTTTAAGGTTCCCCTTATAATTACATGTGGTTAGCAGTCAGAACAGCAAGCAAACAAACACACAAAAAACACCACAAAAGAGCGAGCCATTAAAATGGACAGAAAACTTTCAACTGAGGTGCCTTTCCATGCAAATTTTTATTTTCAAAAGCATTTTTGGGCAGCTTAGAAAACAGCAACCATGATTTGGCACTTTCCTTAGCTGCTAGAGCAACTGGTAGAATTAGACATCTAGTCAGATTTAGCAGGAAGAACGAACTGGTGAGCTAAAGAACAAGAACACAACCAAGACCATGTCTGAATAAATTTGCAGTCGTGTGTACATAGGCCACTTATTGAGAAAGATAAGAAAAGAAAAACTAAATTTTCATAATCCTGATTACATGCAGAGGATTGACCCAGATGCATGATTTTAGCTGTATTTATTATATTTAAATACAATGTATGCCTTCACATGTGTTTACTGAAAATAGGAACCACAGCCATTTAAATTAAATGCCTTTTTAAAATATTACTATTTAAAAAAGGAACTATTGAATTCCTGCATACTAAGAAGTAAAGTATATGACTGCGGTGTTCTAGAATTAATTAATGTCTTATTTTAGTTTTAAAATCAAGAAGATATTTTCTCATTGCTTGCAGAATAAAATAGCTAAATCCTCTGCTTAGATCTGAAAGTAGTTTTGCCCACAGCAATCAAACTAATATTTTCTTTATAGCTCGTTTTCTCTGTAAGCTTTCTACTGATTTCATTAGGCTTTAGATCAGGTTCCAAGTAACTAATTATATTTATAGTGTGATTTCTTTGCTTGGCATAACTAATTTAGGTAAAGGATCTGGTGGGAATGGTGAAAGGCTAAGTAGTATACTTTTACTCTGCTTGTCCAGGTGCAAGATACCAGGAAATTCTGGACTTGTAATCTCTCAGTATTTAGCTGAGCAGAAACTTAGCTATTTTCAATCCTTTGTGAGTGCATAATGATGAAGAGTTGATACACTGAATCTTTCCTTTGTCTCAACT